GGTGTGTGTTCTCTATACTAATTTCCATAGTGGCTGTACCAATCTATAATCCTACCAACAGTGGAGTTCCCCTTTCCTTCTATCCAGCATTTACTGTCTGTTTAATCTTAGCCATTCTGGCTGGGGCAATATGAAATCTTGAAGAAGTTTGATTTGTATTTCCCAGTTTGGGAATGATGTTCTTAGCCATTTTATGTTTTGTGTTGAGAACTTTCTGTTAATATCTTGTATTAGTTTTTCATTGCTGTGATAAAATATCAGGAGGAAAGTATATTATAGAAGAAAGTTTTTGTCATTGTTTTGTTTTGTTTGTTTTTCTTTTTCTGTTTTTTTTGGGGGGGCTTACAGTTTACAGGAACAAGTCCCTCATTGTGAGGATGTATGATAGCAAGTGACAAACACAGCAGCAGTAGCTGAAAGATTACATTTTTCAACCACAAATGCAAAGCAGAGACGGCGACCTGGGAGTGCAGTGAAGCTTAGACTCTCAAAGCCCACCCCTAGGAATATCCTTTCCTCAGTAACATTCATTATACCACCTCCCAAAACAGTATCACCAACTGGAGACCAAGTATGTAAATGCCTGAGTCTAAGGGGGCATTCTTATTCAAACCACTACAGATTTATAGACTCTTTTTATTGGATTGTTTTTATTTTTTAAATCTTTTTAAGTTCTTTGCATATTCTAGGCATTAGTCCTCTGTTGGATGTATGGCTGGCAAAGTTTCTCTCCTATTTTGCAGATTTCCTCTTCACTTATTATTTCCTTTACCATACATAAGCTTTTGGTTTTATAAGATCCCATTTGTCCATTGTTGGGACCAATTCCTGGGCCAAGGAAACCCTATTAAGAATGTCTTTTCCTATACCTGTATCTTGTAGGGTATAGTCTGTTTTCTTTTATCAATTTCAGACTTTCAGGTATCTCACCGAAGTCTTTGATCTATTTTGAGTTAATTTTGTGCATGATAATAAATATGAATCTAATGTCCTTCTTTTACTTGTGTGCATCGATTTTCTCAGGACTGTTTGTGGAAGATGCAGTCCTTGTGTGTGTGTGTGTTTGGCATCTTGGTCAAATATAAAGTGGCTGTACTAATGTGCACTTGAGACTGGGTCTTCTATTATGTTCCAATGATTTACATATGTATTTTTGTGCTAATACCATGTTGTTTTTATTACTACTGTTGTGTGATAAAACTTAAAATCTTGTATGATAATCCCTCAAGCATTATAATTTTTAAATGCAGAATTATCGTTATTATCCATGGCCTTTTGTGCTTTCCTATGAAATTTCGAGTATTTTTTTCTATATGTCATATAGAGTTTAACTGAGATTGCATTGAATCTGTAAACTGCTTTTGGTAGGATGGTAAGTTTCACAGTATTAAGTCTATCAATCCATAAGTATGGGAGGTCTTTCCATTTTCTAGTGACTTCTTCCACTTATTTCTTAAGAAATTAAAATTTTTTCATTGTAGAGATCTTTCACCTTTTTGGTTAGGTTTATTCTTGAGTCTCTCTCTCTCTCTCTCTCTCTCTCTCTCTCTCTCTCTCTCTCTCTCTCTCTCATACCATGAATGGGCATGTTCCCATAGATTCCTTTCATAGCATGTTTGTTATTGGTGTAGAAAGGATACTGATTTTTGTAAGTTAATTTTGTATCCTGCCACTTGCTAAAAGTGATCATTTCTAATTTTCTGTTACAATATTCGAGATCTCATTCATATACATACATACATACATACATACATACATACATACATACATATCATACCATTTGCAAATGGGCATACTTTAACTTATTTGTATCCCTTTAGTTTCCTTCTCTCATCTTAATACTCTTGCTAGGGCTTCAGTACTATATTGAAAAGGAATGGGAATAGAGGACATGCCTCTCTCAGTCTTAATTTTAATGAGATTGCATCAAATTTTTCTCCATTTGGGATGTTGGCTAGTGGGTATGTCATTATATAGCTTTTATTATGTTGAGGTATACTTCTTCAAGTTCTATTCTTTCTGGGACTTTTATCATGTAGTTTTGTTGAATTTTGTCAAAGGCCGTTTCTACATCTATTGATAATTTTTCTTTTTGATAATGCCATTCTAACAGATGTGAGGTGATATGTCATTATGACTTTAATTTGGATTTCCCTATTGTTTTTGAAGTTTTTCATGTATTTATTAGCTATCTGTATATTTTCTTTTGTCTATCTAAATTGGGTGTAGTGGCATGTGCTTTTAATCCCAGCACTGAAGAGGCAGAGGGAAAGGGGAACACTGTGAGTTCAAGGCCCTAGCAAGTTCTCGGGCAGCCAGGGCTTCACAGAGAGACCCTGACTTGAAGGAGGAGGAGGAGGCTGAAGAGGAAGAAGAAATGTTTGTTTCTTTGTTCATCTGAAAACCAAGTTGCTTTCTTGCTACTGAATTGAGGTTTTTGTCAGGAGCCAGGAAAATTCCATTAGGGACTTTCCATGGGTTCCAGTAACCAGTAACCGGGAGCTCCAGTCTGCATTGAATTGCGGGTGCTAGCTGATTTGCTGTTGAATAGCATGGCCTCAGTGGGGAATGTCCCCTAGTTTGTATCTCTACAGGACGAAGCATTTGAATAGACTTGCGCCAGGGTGCAGGGCTAGGTGTGTAAGTAACAAGAGAGGCCAGAGAGTTAGGAGCTAGCTGGCAGAGGGTTTGACTGGAGGAGACAGAAATGGCCTCAGGGTCAGGGAAGCATGGTAGGGAAACAGCCAGGAAGATGGGGAATAGAAAAGAGACTCCAGTTTTGCAGCATGGAACTGAGAGTTCTCTAAAGAAGACAAGATGCCTGTGTTTGGTTTTTATTGTTGGGTTGCTAGGGGTTTCCAAGTCCACACCCCCACTCAGGCCGAACCTCATGGCTACTGAGGCTTGGGGCTGAGACATCCTGGGCCACGACAGGTTTTTTGTTTTGTTTTGTTTTTTGTTTAATGTCTATCCTGATGTGGAGTGTTTGCTCCCTCCTAAATTTACTTGACAGAAGGTTCTGTTCACATTGATGTAATTATCTCAGATTTGGGTTCCTTACAAAATAGAAGTCTTGGCCTTTTTGGGTGTCTTTCTGTCCCTCTCTTTGCCTGTTCATTATGGGATGATGCAACAAAGAACTCACTGAAATGTAATGGCTGGCACATTGATCTCAGACTTCCTAGCCTCCAGGCCTATATGAAAAATGTTTGTATTGCATCCTGAAATTCTATTATAGAAGCACTAAATAGTCTAAGAGAAGTGTAGTTTAGAAGTATGTTTTCCTACCTCATGGGTGATCCTCATTCTTTTGACTACTTGCTTTGGTATTCAGAAGCCTTTTAGTTTGATGAAGTTCTACTGATCTACTTCTACTTTTGTTGTACAATGTTAGGGTATGTATGTATGTATGTATGTATGTATGTATGTATGTATGTATGTACCTCCAGATCAAAGCCATGAAGTTATTCTGAAGTTTTCATAGCATCAAATGATTATGCGTCTAATTTAGTTCTTCCATGTAAGGATGTATAATTTCCCAGCATCATTTTGGAAAAGACCATCTTCTCCATCTTGTCTTTGAGGCAGTTTTGTTGAAAATCATTTAATCATGAACACACATTTACTTTTGGACAAGCTGCTCTGTTCTGTTAGTCTATATGCCTGCTTGTTTTAATTACTATAGTTTTGTAGGATACTTTGAAATCAGACTGTGAGGGCCCCAAGATTGCTTTAGCTCCTTGAGGTCTTTTATTTCTATATTTTGAAGAATAGTACAATTTGGTAGAGAGTACATAGTATCTATAGATTACTTCTGGTATTGTGGACATTTTAAAAGTTATAATTCTTTCAATCCATGACTGAGTTCTCTTTCCAATTATTTATGTCTTCTTAAATTCATTTTAGAAGTGTTTCATAATTTTAATTTTCACTTCTTTTTTTAAAGATTTATTTATTATGTATACTGTGTTCTGTCTGCATGTATGTCTGCAAGCTAGAAGAGGGCACCAGATCTCATTACAGATGGTTGTGAGCCATCATGTGGTTGCTGGGAATTGAACTCAGAAACTCTGGAAGAGCAGTCAGTGCTCTTAACCTCTGAGCCACCTCTCCAGGCCCTAATTTTCACTTCTTTGGTTAGATTTATTCTTCAATTTCTTTTGTTAGATACTTTGAATGAGATAGTTTTATTAATTTCTTCTTTATATAGTTCCTAGTTGAGGTATAGAAATGCTAGGATCCAGTTGCAGAGAAGGACTGATGAGCAAAGGGGTCCATACCAGGCTGGTGAAACCCAAAGAAACAGCTGACCTGAACAAGGGAGAGCTTTTGGCCCCCAGACTGATAGCTGGGAAACCAGCTTGGGACTGATCCAGACCCCTTGAATGTGGGTGTCAGTGAAGAGACCTTGAAAATCTATGGGGCCCCTTGTAGTGGATCAGTACTTATCCCTAGCATAGGAATGGACTTTGGGAGCCCATCCCACATGGAGGGATACTCCCTGAGCCTGGACACAAGGGGGCTGGCCTAGGCCCTATTGCAAAGAATAAGACAGGCTTTGAAGACCCCCCCTATGGAAGGCAGGGGAGGAGGGGAGGGAAAGGGACCTGGGATTGACATGTAAAATAATTTTCTTTCTAATTAAAATAAAAAAAAACAATGATGCAAAAAAAAAAAAAAAAGAAAAAAAGAAATGCTGCTGGGTTTTCTTGCTGTTGTCAGTGGTGGTTTGAAACCAGTCTCACTATGTAATCCAGGTTGGTCTTAAAATCATTGTCCTTCTACCTCAACTTCCTAAATTCTGGAATTACAGGCATACACTGAATACTATGGATATTATAAGTTGGTTCTGTAGCATGTAACTTTTTGAATTCACTTTATAATTCTAGGTTTTGATGGAATCCTTAAGGTTTTCTATTTGTAGCATCAAACTGTTGGTCTACAGTACGGTTTACCTTCTTCCTTCCAGTTAGGATGCTTCTCATCTTCTCTCTCTAGGGCTAGTATTACATTGAATAGAAGTAGTAAAAGTGAAACTCTTGTCTTGTTTCCTATCTTAATAAAATGCTTTCAACCTTCCACCATTAAAAATGACCTTGCTGAGGGCTTATCATGTATTGTTTTTACTTGTATTAAATATTAATTACTGAAATGGTTAGAAAAACTAAGTTGCACTGTTACAAACAATGTGCCAATCAATCACAAATACATACAAAATAGAAGTAAAAAATGTTCCCATCTGCAAGCAGTGCTTGTTAGATTACAAGGAAAGTTTGGTAAGAACTAAGTGGGTCTGAATCACACCCTTCCCCTGCCATATTTACCACCTGTAAGCTCTTTCTTAATTTTCCTGAGCAAGTTAAAATTTCTGCTCAATGTGTTTTTTTCTTTTTATCAGACATGAGTAATTTTTTGATGACAATACAAACAAAACCAGTTCACACTAAATTATAAAAGTCATAATTAGGTAAACATTCATAGATTTTGTCATTAGGGTTGTGGTATTGAGTAATCTAGTAATTTTACTATTTATTAAAAGCAGAATCATCAAAAATGAAAATGCATAACAAATTGTGTTAGTGATTCAAAAGTGAAAATTTACAGCTTCCATTATTACGATAAAACTGTTCTATTACTCTTCATTTTTGTTTTTTCTGTATACAAGTGTTTTGCCTACATGAATGTATGTATACCACACGTGTGCCTGGTGAAAAGGCCAGAAGAAGATGGTAGATACTCTGAAAGGAGTTACAAACAGTTACAAGTTGCCATGTGGGCTCAGAGAACTGAACTATATCCTCTCCAAGAGCAGCAAGCATCCTTTACCACCAAGCCATCTCGACTGCTCTGCTCCAGTACTTTAGAGTGTCATAACTATGTTTTTAAAGTTCAAAAGCAGTTTATGGTTTTGCACAAAGTATCACGGAAGCAAAATTATAGACACCACTGTATTTTGAATCCACTTGGGATGGTTTATCTTCATTATCAACTTAATTGGATTTATAATTACCTAGGAGGTTACTGAGGAACACTTCTAGGTGTCTCTGTGAGGAGAACTCTAGAAATGATTAACTGAGGGTGGGGTGAAAACTTATCCCACATGTGAGTGGAACATTCTCCAAGCCAGGGGACTCAGAAAGAATATAAAAAGGGGAGAGACAAAGCCTGTCAAGTACTGGCGCTCTCCATTTTCTGCTTCTTGGCTTCGGATGACATAAACTTTTCTGGCCCACTGTGACTTCCTCAACATGATGCTTTGAATCCTCTAAAACTGTAAGCCCAGAAAAACCTTCTCTCCCTTAAGTTGTTTCTATTAAACATTGTGGTCACCTGCAAAAGTAGTCATTACAACATGTTTGCATTACAACCTAAAAATCTTACCTTGGCAAAACGAAGCACCAGTTGCTTAAAATGGAATGTCTCTCAATGACAGCATTCTGGTTGGTATGAAAATCCTTTATAATATGCTGAGAAATATCAAACTCCTTTAGCTTTTAATTGAAATAAGATTTCAACATATAAGTCCTCAAGGAATTTGCCACATAAAAAGAAACATTTACAACAACATACACTGACAGTGGTTTATGACCTAATCAGTGTTGTAACACACCTTGCCTCTGTGCTGCACAGTACACCAAATGGACTATGCTTTCCCTTTCGTATCCCAAGCCCAAACCTTTTTTTATGCTTAATTCAGTCCATTTTTATAATGTTAACTTGGAGAAGTCAAGTACCTTCTAAAGGTGTGTCTGTGTGTACATGTTTGTACGTGTGGACATGTGTGAGTGGAGCCCAGAGGAAACCTATGGGAGACATTCCTTTGAAATATATTCCGTTAGTTTTTTGAGTCAAGGTCTCACTGTTCTGGACCTCTCAGTAGGCTGTGGATCAAGCTGAGCAAACACTTTACCAGCTTAGGGCATCTTTCATGCCCAAATTAACCTTTTAAGAACAGCTTCTGTGACTGAGCTAGTGACATGCTCTCCTTTGATATCCCCATTCCATTTCCTAGAACGATTTTCTCCTGTTCCTCAGATATCCTACCCAGACAGGATCCCAACTTCTATACAGACAGTAAGTGTTCACCACTTACAGTTCAGTCACTCTGGGAAGTCCTGTAAGACATTTCCCCAATTCAGACAGACACAGAGAGGCATCCAGTGAAAATAAAGTATTAGTGGGTAAATGAACACTTAAGGCTTAGAGAGGTTGTGTCACGAGCCCTCACTCCTTATAAACAGCAAAGTGACTCTGGGGAACAATGTCCTCACTCCATTCTCTACCTACTTCTTTCAAGAACTCTGAGCTGACATGGCCAACATGGTATTGTTGGGACAAGCCATTAGTATATTAGTGATGTTGCTTAAAGCGGGGCTCACATTTTGATATTTTGATTCCTACTAGTCAAAGCCTACACCTAAGTCTAGACCCATTTATTCTAATAGCACTTTTCTGAATTCCTATACCATTCCTTAAAACTTCCTGTGGAGTCATTGGCAATTGTTAAATACTGGGAAAGTAAGGGTCAGATTTTGCTAAGAGTGTAGCCCCTTACAAGTTGACCATATTTCAGTGGAAAACCACACATCCAGGAAAGAACAAATTGGTCTTAAGGGATTTAAATAAGGACAGAAAATTGGGTGAATAGGGAAGGTGGATTTGGGAAGACTTGGGAAGGTTAATAGAATCAAAGCATGTTATACAAAACTTTAAGCTCTCAAAGAACTCTTTTAAAGGGAGTAATGGAAACACGGGAGCAGAAAAAATAAGGAAAGAGTCAATATGGGAAGAGATCATAAAATATGCTAGGGACATATATTAGTGGTGTAGTGCTTGTGTGGCATATGAAAGAATCCAGGCTTTATCCTTAGCACCAAAAGAAGGAAGAAAAATCAGTAAAAGCAACAACATTCTGACCTGATAAGGACATAGAGTGTCCTGTGTAATAGAAGAGGTGACTCTTTTAAAAAAATACATTTACTTAGCCGGGCAGTGGTTGCACATGCCTTTAATCCCAGCACTTGGGAGGCAGAGGCAGGCAGATCTCTGTGAGTTTGAGGCCAGCCTGGTCTACAGAGAGAGTTCCAGGATAACCTCCAAAGCAATACAGAGAAACCTTGTCTTGAAAAAAACAAAACAAAAATATGTTTACTTTTATTTATACTTATGCATTCGTATGTGGGGAGCTGAATGCCCAGGGAAGCCAGGAGAGAGTGTAGATGCCCTACAGCTGAAATTATAGTAGTTATGAGCCATCTGATATGGGTTCTGAGAATAAAATTCAGTCTCCAGAAGAGCAGTATATGCTCTTAGCTTTTGAGCCATTTCTTTAGTCTCAAGAGGTAAATATTATGATGTGATGTACTTGTGCTTGAAAAATCTGTTACCTGAGCTATGCTATGAAAAAAGGAAGTTATGAAGAAGAAAAGAAGGAAGGAAAGAATAAGCAAATAAAGATGGCCAGGGCAGGAGACATGAAAGTCACCATATACTAGCATCAGGTAGAATTACAAGCTTGAGAGAAAACAAATTCTAAAATAGAATTCTAAAGACAGGCATTAAAGTAAAATGTTCAGAATTTGTGGGTTCTCACATATACCTACCTACACAGCTGAAGTGCATATCAACACTATTCAGAGGCCCAAGCCCATTGCTGCAGGGATGTCCACACCACCAGTACTTGTCTTTATCAACACAGATTAGTCTGAACACTAACAACTTTCTCATCTGAGATGAATGCAGCCTGAAACTGCTCCCTTTCAGAGAACTACTGAGATTAGCTACACCTGCCTCCTTGTTTGGCTGCATACCGTAAACTTGTCTCCTTGATCCAGATGTATAAAATAAGTGCTCAGAGTTTCCGGGTCCCTGTTACAGTTGGTACCCTGCACCAGAGTGAGTAAAGCCCATATGATCCCACCTTAGCTTTTCTGTACATGTGTCTGTGTGTTTGTCCTTTCTTCTTTCTCTTATCACCCCAGCTGCTCAATTCCTGATGCTGTGGAGGGTACTGCACCTTGCTCTGCCATCATGGGCTCTAACTTTCTGGAACCGTAAGCCCAAATAAACTCTTGTGTAAGATGCCTTGGTCAAGGTGTTGTATCACAGCATAGGAAAGTAAGTGATGTGTTGCCTAGCAGCAACATCTGTCACTCCTCTGATCACCAGGGTTTATTAGGCTGATAAAGTGGGCTAGACAGGTGTCCCCTTCCTCCCTCACTGTTTCATGTATGTCCCTCCTAAAGCATCATGCTAGGTTGAGAAGAACAGCCTTTATGGATAGAGCATAGCCTTTCTTCAGCCAAGGGTATGAGTAGCTGTGCTCCCCTAATAGTATCTCTAAATAAGCATTCGACCTCAGCACTATTGACACTTAGGGTCAGATGATGTTGTGGTTTTTGTTCTGTGTGAAACAGAACATTCTTTGCTTCCGTCTGCTAGATGCTAGCAGCAAAATCATGCCATTCTTCCCTGGCTCTGAAACCCAAACCAGCCTCTAAGCATTGTTCAATGCTTCCTGGAAAGCAAAAACATTCATTTTCTCCTTCACCCTTCTCTGTCACTGAGGGACCAGTGGCACCCAATAAAGGAAACAACATGTACTGAGTGACTACAAATGTGTAAAGCTCTATGCCAGATACTATGGGAATTAGTAAAATAGAAGACAAAGACAGAAAGCATGTGATATAAAAAAATAGATGCAAAAATAATACAAGAATGTCAAGAGCAGAAAACGAGCATATTTACCATGAGATGAAACTATATTTTTAATATATGGAGGTAAAAAAGATGAAGAAATTGGTGCTAAGACAAGGTAAGATAGTGACATTTTGGATGTGTCTAATGATATTTCTGACAGGAGTAACATGTTTAAAAACCCGTGTTAAATAAGAATGATATTGGGGGAATTTAGAAAACATAGACATGTCAAGCATTTAGCAGCATTCATTTTATTTATTTATTTTTTCAAGCTGGGCATGGTGTCTTGTGCCTATAATCCTAGTACTCAGGAGGCTGAGGTAGGAGGGTAGCTACAAGTTCAAGGCCAGCCTGGCAGATACCAACTACTAGCCAGCCTGAGCTATAAAATGAAACTCTGTTTCAAAACACCAAAACTAAACAAATAATAACAACAAACCACCACTAAGCCCTTCTAAATGTTAGCACAAAATAAGGGGCTTTATTAAGACATTGAATTTAAGTGTATATTTGTACTTTGTCCACAGTCACCCTAGTGGTCTCTTTTGTCTACCATGCACTCCCGCTAGTCCCCCCCCCTTCCTTTAACTTCCAAACAGTCCCCTGCTGTTTTCAGACAGTCTACATGTGTATATATGTATATCCTACAGATGAGAGAAAAAATTGCAAGTATTTTAGTAACAAAACCTTTCCTATCAGCGTCCATGCTAAAAATTAAAATTAAATAGCAGGTTACTAATAATAACATGCATACATTAAGTATATAGTAAATACAGGACTTATAGAAATCAAATATTTTGTACCTCAGGTGGTGGCAATCTGATAGTATAGACTTCTATACTTAGACAAACTTGTGTTTCTGTTACGTTGATGTCTAATACTGAAAAAGAATGAATCATGAATTTTCTAGAATGCTATCATATCAAATGAAGCATTTGAGTAACACATATTACTTTATCCAACTTATACACTAAGAATAGTTTTTTACACATATAATAAAGTATGGTCATCTACAAATTACACTTCAAAGACAAGATATAAACAATAGGATATTCATGAGAGGGAAGTCCTACAACAAGATGATAGTAAGAAAGATAATACTTCCTACAGCTTATAGTACACTCAATAACACTTTTTGCAAATCTGACATCTAAAACTAAATCCCAGTGACATCTCACACCAGACGTCTGACCTGACAGTCATTCACTAGACCTCCTCCTAGAGACCTTCCTTACTCTCTCATACATAAAGCTTTGCTGACATGGCAGAGTCATGAGGACCTTGGAAGAAGATAGCATCTGAACAGGCTTTGGAAGCTTCAAGGATGCTGACAAAGGTATTTTCCTGAGCAGACCACCAGTTACCAGGCTGATTTGACTTTGTAAACTTTGGAGAGTATACACATAGAATGCCTGAGTTTTACCCAAGTACATTACATTTAAACAAAAGCAAAAACAATCTTCTAACAGGAGCCCAAGAAATTTATTCTTCCAAATTGTGATCTTGACTCGCTAGCTAAGGTCTCATGTTAGTGTAGTGAAGCTAAATTTAGGTAACAAACTCATTCATCCTGGTTGAGTTCAGAGCCATGGCCACTGAACTAGTGCAAGGCAAGAAACATGATTCAGCAGGACAGTCTGCTCAGCTCCAGTACTCGTAGGTTATAGATGATGATTTGAAAACTATGTTCAAAAGATGGGGGGACCTGCCATGTCTCCTTATTAAGGCCTACTGGGGGTTCATGATCCCCATCCATCTGCTACCTCAGCACTACTATTTAGGGACCTACCTACCCTCAATGAAATATGCAGAGCAATCAATTAGATTGGATGTTATAATAAAGTCTATCTTTGAGATTTATGTTCCTTTAGATAATATTTTCAGGAGAAAAATAATATTCTAATAAAAATAAACTTTGACATAAGTAATACAATTTTTAGATAATATGATTTTGGAAAATATATTAAAATACTTGCAGAATTAAACATCTTCATAATCATTTTCTTATGTAGAGAATATTAAAGTACACCTTTCTTCCCAATTAAGTGAATCTTTTTCTCAAGTAGGTAAATACATATTTTTAATGAGAAGTAACTTTCTAGGTGAATTCTGATTGTAATTATATCTTATGGTAACCATCAAGATTGTAACAATCTGACATTAGTTTTTAAAGAACTGTTAGTAATATTAATGCTTTGTCTATTGTTTTATGTGTTTTACTTACCAACAGCACTTTGCTTTCCCATATGAGAAAGAAAATCTCTTCCTTAAAAAATTCACAGAATATACCACATTATTATAATTCAGAAATAATCATTATTAACAAACATAACCATTTGCAGTGCTATGAAAACTATAAAACAAACATCAAATGACAGCTCTTAGAAAAATATAATCTCTCAAAAAGTATCTGTTCCCTGAAAAGGACCAAAATACCCAATTCTTCCTTCAAAAATTTAATCTCTTGCTATAAAATACTTAGAAAACCATCAGACTTTAGCAGTAATTCAAGATGGCCCATTGGGCCCAACAATACTGACAATCTGTGTTTATTATTTATCAAATCTTTCATAACATACTTATTCTTAAGTCCCAAGTGGTATAATAATAAAAACATTTTAAAGCAGCATCAACAGGCCTCTGTATGTTATCCCCATGTAAGGAGATGACAGTGGTGTTATTGTGGGCTTGTCTGAGAATGTGTAGAGTTGGAGCTAAGAACAGATTACACATAGAATCAATCTATGTGTAGTTCAGACAGTCCAAATGACTGGCAAACGAAGTCACCTTGTACCAAGAGATGACCTGTTCTATTCCAGGCTGGAGCAAGTCGAGCAGTGAGTGAATATGAAAGGCAGTTTTGAAGAATGACAGGAATTACTCTTTGTGGAGCCTCCATCTAAAACAGAAAGAAAAGTTGGGCAAATTAAGAGAAATTGCTACACATCAATAAACTATCTGCAGTCCCAGATCAACATCCAATAAACTATGCAATTCTGGATCAAAATTGTCGTTGTTCCTGTAACTAGGCTAAAGAATTAAAAGAGATACTCATTTTGAAGCTACCACTGTGGCAATGCTATTTCCCAAAACTTCCTGCTTATGCTTAAGCCTAAACTGTACTTCGTCAGTTTAGGCTTAAGCATACCTAAACAGAATACTTCCATGTATTCTGCTCCACACAGAGGAACTCAAGCAAGAATATCACGGTTTGTTCATTTTGTTCCCTGTAGTTTTTCATTAGAAATGGCTAAATACAAAATCACACATGCAACCAAATACATATCTATGTATATAGAGTTAATCTTTAATATTAGGGCTTTCATTGCTGACTCCCAAGTAATTGGAATTGGATTTATTTCTCCCACTTGAAGTCTTTAAAAACAAAAAGAAAACTGGGCAAGTTATTTGCAACAGTGGTTCATGAAATACTAGCCATTATGGAATGAAGAAGTATTATTCTCTATAGAGGAATAGCCAACAAGAAGATCCCGGGGAAACCACAGAGCCTATCTTGTTGACTTTGCTTTTATAGAGGATAACTTTTTCCAGGTTTATTGGTAAAAGAAGGGTTTCAGGCTGTGGTAATGGAAGAGGCAATCTATAAAGAGGGGTGTTGCCAGAATATGGCCATGAAAAAAACAATCTGGAGAGAGTCTGTTAGTCTTTGTGAACTGAAGAGATAGAGTTGAAAGTCTGCAGAAAGCCAAAGAAGCTAGAAAGTGCTTGAGGACAACACTACAGAGAACAGACTGCAGACCAGCAGATTCCTTGTGTTTTCTGCTGAGTAAGGACTGGCACACACATGTGAGGAAACTGCTGAGGGTCAGAATGAAAACCCAGTTTTTTTTTTGCTATATAGGCATTCAATATAATTCAGAAAAATCTGTAAGAAAGACAGGCAGAAAAGTGAGAGCCAAAAATTGTTTCCCAGTATTAATTGCTGGGGATTCCACGATTATAGGAAGAGATTTTGCTACCTTGGCACAAGCAAACAGAAAACAAGAATGTAGTATATCTATCATTATCAGCCAATGAGACCCACTTGACATTTATAGGATACTAAATACTATAATAAGATCAGAATTCATATTCTTGTTAAGATGAAGGAACATTTACTAAATCTATAGTAGTTTATACTCTGGACACTAAAAACTCAATATATTTTTAAAAATTAGAGCTTTAGAACATCTTTCTATATAATAATTGAATGAGGCAGCAGCAAATAGATCCCTGGGAAACCCTCATTTGGAAACCACACAGCCTATTTGTAGCAGTGTTAGGAAGCATTGAAACTGAAAAGTTAAAGGAGACAACTACTTAAAGAACATGTACAACACTGTTCTAGAAAGGAAAGAAGTTCTTAACTCAGTGACAACAGTCATCATTTTAAGAAACTAAAAGAAGCAGGATAAAACAAAACCAAATTAGGTAGAGGAAAATACTATAGACCAAGGGGAGAGGAGGATCAATGAAATAAAAAGTGGTAAAACAATAGAGAAAAACCAATGAAACCAAATCCCCCTCCTTAATCCTATCAATGATTGTCAACTATCTAGCCAGACTGATCAGAGAGTAAGAAAAAGAAGAGAAGAAAATCAGAAAGACCACAGAAATCAGAAAGGAGACATTGCTTCATCCTTAATCCTATCAATGATTGTCCACTATCTAGCAGACTGATCAGAGAGTAAGAAAAAGAAGAGAAGAAAAAAAAAACACAAATCAGAAAGGAGACGTTGCTTCAGATTTACAATAGATGAAATAAGAGAACAGCAAAGCAACTTTATCAAAACAAATGTGAGAGTTTAAATGCAAAGGACAAAATCTTTGAAGTAACTTAATAGCTCTACCTGTTAAAATAAAACCATTCTTTAACTTTTTCAAGATCTAAGTTCTAGAGAGCCCTATGGGTGAGTTTCATAAAACCTTTATGGAAGAAATAAGAAAATCAGACATGACTTCTTCCAAAAACTATTTTTTAAGGGAGGGGATATTTATTTCTTACTATTCCTGATGATAGGAATCTTAACAAATCCATAGTTAATTGTCTAATTGATTGGCTTGAGAAGTGCCAAAAGGATGAGTAAAACACACTTTCTGGTGTGTCTGGGGATTTCCAGAAGAGGACTGCCTAGGGGATAGGACCCACTCTGAATGTGGCAGTACCATCCCCACAGGCTGGAGCTGAGGCCAGGTTGAAAAAGAAGAAAGCCTGAGAGTGCAGAGTTCTCTCTCTCTCTCTCTCTCTCTCTCTCTCTCTCTCTCTCTCCCTGCTCCTCTCCCTCTCCCTCTCCCCCCCCTCCCCCCCCCCCCCCCCCCTTTTTCCCCCCCCCCCCCCCCCCCCGACCTGGGTGAACGCGGTGAGCTGCTTTTCTCATCTATACCTTCCCACCACAATGTGCTTACTCTCTGGAGCCTGATGTACTGCCCACACCCCACACCAAGTTTCTCCCTGTAAAGAAGCTCACCATTAGTAGAATATAGTCTATAATTTTGTTTCTCTATATATTAGCTATATAGTTGTGGCAATAATCCCATCTCTCAGGATTCTTTTCTTTCCCATGTAAAAATGGAGAAGAACCATTAATTCCTCTCTCTGTGTCCTTAAATAATTGTTTAGAAAAATCTTGAGGTCTTTTCCCATTTATAACAAAAACTTGTGAGAAAGACACTTCAAATTTTGTTTGTTGACTGTGCTGGTTAGGTTTTGGTTATTCATTTATTTTTGGCAACTCTACACAAACTAGGGTCATCTGGAAAGAGGGAACCTCAACTGAGAAAATGCCTCCATCAGATTGTCCTCTAGGCTAGTCTGTAAGTCATTTTTTAAAATTTAGTGATTGATGTGGGAGGGCCAAGGCGAGTATGGGTGCTGTAACCCCTTGGCAGGTAGTCAAGCAAGTGGAGTGAGCCATGTTGCAGGCCTGTATGCAGACCTCCTCCATGGTCATGGTCTGTGCTTCAGTTCCTGCCTTGGATGCCTGCCCTGAATTCCTTTGATGATGCACTGTGATATGGGAGTATAAACAAAATAAATACTTTTCTCTCCTAAGTTGCTTTTTGGTCATGGTGTTTTATCACAGGAACAGAAAACACACTAGGACACGAGTAAAAGAAGTAGAATATTCAACCAATGTAACACCTATTTATTATTCTGAACACATACCTTAGCTTCATATTTTTCAATATAGGCATTAAGTCTCCCAGATTTAAAAAATGGTATCTGTAACAGAAAGTCCACATTACATTTGTAAAAAGGAATTAACATAGATATGTAATAATACATTGCTGTACATTAATATTTTAAGCAAGATACAACAGAGGGTGCAGATTTTGGCTATCATTCTATATTGTATAGGTAAAGTTACCTGATATAGACATGATCTCCAAGCCACGTAAAAGAAAAGCCAAATAAATTTCATATAAGTATTTGACACCTTTTAAATATATAGATATACTTAGATATGAATATGGAAAATGGACCTAAATAGAAGTTTAAATTCCAAAGGCTTCAACCTACTAATGACAGAAATGTAAGTATTAGCAGCCTAGTAGAAATTATTTTTCTAAACAGGCATGGTATCAAACTGTCATCTAAATAGTTACATCTATGCCAATAGATTATGCAGTAGAGAAGCTTCTTATGCAGTAGATGTGATTAACACAGAGACTCACAGCTAGTCTGTGTGTGGAGAATGAACGGATATGAGCTTCTCAGCCCTAAATGGGAAAACTATATCATACTCCCACCCCCTCTTCCCCCGCAAGCCTCATGGGACATCATGGAGGAAAGGACAGACAGAAAGACTGTATGAGCCAGAGGTCAGGGAGGACTGCTGTGTAATAGTTTCTTCAGTAGCTACTGAGGGTTGATGGCAACTAGCGAAGGGAGAATCTGTTTTCTTCAGGGGCATGGTCCCTGTTAGGATGACCATTGTAGGAGATAGCCCTATCACCATGCATGTGTGCTCTAATTAGAGTCAGTGGATTATTTTTTAAGAAAGAGGATATGAAGTTGGGAGGAGGAAGGGGGTGTGTATGGAAAGATTTGGAGGGTGAAAAGTAGAGGTAGAATGTGACTCAACTAAATTGTATGCATATATGAAATTCTCAAAGAATAATGAAAATGTTGACTCACTGAGAAACTTAAATATAACTAAAATATTAATAAAAGGCATTGGAGCCCATGCTATCTTACACATTGTACCATAACATACATGTTCTGTTCATTAGTGGTCTTTATTTCAGCATTTATATCAGATAGAGCTAAATATTAACTTAGAATCGCAAGGTAGATTTAAATGTCGGGCACATCAAAGTTAATGGGATATCCGTTCAAACTAAAATATGGGGTGGTTAGTCCTCATAAACCATCTTTAACTTCTGCTATCACACTTGCATTGGTGTTTATCAATATCACTCCCAATAATCAGAAATACTAACCGACATCACTACCCAAATTTGGCTTAATATTCCAGGCACAGGCGCTGTAAGAATATCTTCATGAAGAAGTAGCAACTGCCTGTGGAGAAGGAACACATTATTTTCAAACTGAACTTGTCTACCATCTATACTTGTATGTTACTGAATTATTTAGGAGCTTATTCTAATGTCTCACTTTTCTGCTTATTTAGTTATTTTTCAAAGGGGACAGAGGTAATTTGTAATAAGTATAATTAAATTACACCCAAACCACAAGGGTACAGATTTCCTGATGCACTTGGGGATTTAAGACGGAGTACACTCCCAGGCTGTCCTCCCCATTTCCATCTGTAGCACTGTGTTGTTTTGCAACCATCTTGCTATATAGTTCGGGATACCTCTAACTTGAGATCCTTGTTCCTCAGCCTCCAGACTGCTGGCATTAGGGACATTCACCGTTACATCCAGCTTGCTCCTAGTAACCTTACAGGTTTTATTCTTCTCCAGGGTAGTTATTTAAATATATAATATTGTCTCCAGTCCTTCTATGGGTACCTCAAAGAATTAAAGGAACTAATCAAGTGATTGCTTAATAATCAGGCTTCAGATTATCTTGGATCAAGAATTGCAAGATAATTCTTAGAGAAACATTCTCCATTATCATGTTTTGACATCAAAGTTTAGAATTTTATTAATCTTTTGGTATCTTTAAGTACCTTGTAAAGAGTATATAGTAAAATGTATTATTTACTGTATTTTTGGAGAGTCTGATTTAATTCATGAGTTAAGTCTTCTAGAGAATTAAAATTTTGTATTTTATGTGCGTTGGCGTTTTGCCTGCAAGTGTGTCTGTGTGAGGATGTCAGCCCCTGGAACTGGAGTCACAGACAGTTGTGAGCTTCATGTAGGTACTGGGAATTGAACCCTGGTCCTCTGGAAGACCATCTAGTGCTTTCAAGCACTGAGCCATCTCTCCAGCCCTGAAAAGTCAAAATTTTTAAAGCACGCAAGAGGACACAAATATAACAACTCAATGGTGAGATATTTATCTCAAGTATTTTAGATCTCTTTATAACCGTAATCTAACATACCCTTCTACAACAGCTATAATGGGATTTTTTAAAGTTAAAAGCATAGTTAGAAGACACATGTTTTACCTGCACATCTTTATCTGTGTACTCCTAATCTCTGTTTCTGCCACTTTGCTACTCAGTTTTATCTGGACAGCACAGAGTCTGTGTAAATCTGGAAGAATGATAAAGAACAGGGACAGATGCCTGGACTTGTTCATATTCTCTTGTTGACTATGTGTTTCAGCAACCAGACCTTCAGAAACAAATAGCTGTAAAAGGCAGATAAACAGTTTCAGCCGTAAGGTTTCAATACTAACTCAGCAGATTCAATTCAATATCATGTTAGAATAAGAAAATAAAAACAAGTTAGTAAACTTTAGCCACAAAATCATCACCATTTCACCTTCATGGGTTTCTAAATCACTTGTGTTTAGACAAGTATTATTAAGATACTCTTCTGCGATTATCCAGTTAGAATGTAGTTCCATGCTTTTTAAACTATACCCAAAGAGTTATACACCTATTAATGGAATAAATTTCATCACCTCTCCCAAGATTCCAAATCTCCAGTTTTACAACACAAATTGAATGGCTAATTTAAGTACAAATAATAAGCCTAATTTATTAAATGCCAAAGTCTGTTCTAGGTACTTGCTATATATCTGCCATATTGTGTTTAATAATTTCATTCTACAGATCCTGGCTATCCTTATATTTTTGTTTTCAGAAAAACAAAATCTTTCCTCTCACATAATTTAAAAATAAAAACATGTAGCCAAGACTTCCACTACTTCAGATTCTCTGTACGAACCACTTCAAGGTTAAAGAATGCATTATTTTTTTTATTTTACATAAACGAAAATCTGTAATTGTAACTGTTAAGTAGTTTTAATTTTCAAGAAATTACTCGGCTTTTAAACTTCTACTTGGGGGCACATTTTAAAACTGCTAATTCACATGCCACCTTTGAAGTATGCATCTCACATCACAGAAAACTGGAATGTAAATGTAGAGCAGGTGGGCAATGCCAAGTACTCTAAGGTGCACAAATACACCAACGGCAGGTGACCCGGACTCTGGAATGTAACCTTAACCAAACCCATCTTCTCTCTTCAGAAGAAACCACTAGCCCCAGAGTCCACATGCGGGTAGACTTTAGTCTGGTCACATGAATCAAATTCCTCTGGCTGCCATCTGAGGAGTGCTGGCCACGCGTGACCTTTGGCTTAAACAAAACCAGCTTCCTTAAACCACCGTGTTTGGAATGCTTCAACAACTGAGACACATGCACAAAAAACAAACAAACAAACAAACAAACAAACAAAAAAAACAGAATCGTAACCCTTTCCTGGCCCTGAAGTTATCCCGACGCAAATTTCTTCAGGAACGTTTCAGAGCTGGACTCAACTAATGCGTCCCGTAAGCGAGCTTGCAGTAAGTCCCCTTCCCTCCTTGGGCTCCACGTTCCCCTCCTCGGTGACAGCAATGTCTCCCAAGTCTTGGAAAGCAAATTTGAAAAGGTGATTCTAGAAGGTTCTAGAGCTTCAACAACTGAGACACATGCACAAAAAAAAAAAAAACAACAAACAAACAAACAAACAAACAAAAACAGAATCGTAACCCTTTCCTGGCCCTGAAGTTATCCCGACGCAAATCAGCACCCTCTCGTTAACCAGGGCCTTCAGCGTGGTCCTTTCCCAGGGCGCCATGAGGGCCTCACTGAGGATGCCTGGGGCCTTTCCACCTCTCTCTTACCTCAGTCTGCGAGACTCCGTGCTCCCCTCAGCACCATTCACGGGTCCCCGCGATGCCCTGCGCGCCCTCCAGCCTCGAGCTCTCCTGGGACCGGGCTCCTGTCAACTCGCACGCTCGAACTCCCAGCAGGCCTTGCGCGCACGCACGTGCTCGGGTCTGGCGTCTCTCCCAGCAGGCCCTGCGCGCTCCGCTCCTAGGAAGTCCCATGATCCCTTGCGCTCCGCCCTCTGGTCAGGTCTGGTGCTCCCAGCTCCTGCGCCCCGCGCGGGCCTTTCGCATTGCGGTCGGACCCCGGTCGCCTCGCCCTCCTCTCAGCCCAGGCAGCACCCCACATCCCCGCCAGGCCCAGCGGAGGGAGGGCTCTTGCCAAGGCTCACACCGGGTCTGGAGCCCCCAAAGGCCCTGTGCTCCTCAGGGCTTCGTCAAGGCTCATTCCTTGTCCTTAGCATGTCCTCTGTGGACGGCATGCCACAGAGCCTTGCTTTCTACCCAGACAGCTTCCGTGCTTAGGAAGCAGTCTTCAGCGTGGTCGTCTGAGTCAACACGCCCGGAGTTGTTGGTCCCACCCTGCAACACATGCAGGCATGCTGTGTGTTCTGTCACCACCCCAGCACGACCCTATGGGCTTTCCCTGACAAAACCAGAGTTTGCTCAGCGCCTCGCACAGCTCACTGAAATACCCAAATGAGGGTGGTTCCCGGGTCAGCCCACACACTTGGCTGAGATGAGTGAAAAGTAGACTTGTTGGGTTGCAGGTAACGTTTCTGCTTCGATTCTCTTCACTCTATGCATCTCCCAGAGCTCCTTTGTAACGATGAAGCCCCACCACTGTAAGGTCTTAAAAAGTTTGAAAGATGCTCCTCTTGCTCAAATGACAGATAGTTACTGAGCCCTTTTCAGCTGCTTTTCCAGGCGCTTGATGATGGAGCATTAAGCAAACAGTATTTTCTACCACAGCAGAACTTACTCGGAGTAGGAAAAGTTAATAATTCCAAAGTGAACTTATTCTTGTCCGACCCACAGAAAACGGTAATTGGGAAGTAATGAGAGCCCTGTCATGTCTTTTCGCTAAGTTCTTTTGCAAGATTTGGGAGAGCTTTCTCCTTGCAGTTATTCAGATGTCTGTGACAAAGTTCACCTTTAATATTCTTCAGAACTGCAGCACTTCGTACAAGATGTGCTTGTTAGGTCCCCATCAGTGAGTTCACCCTAACTGCTGACTAAGGACTCCCACACTAATGAATTTTGTGTACAAGTAGCTCTCATGAAGTCCTTTCCTTTTGCCATCAGATACTCCTTTTCCTCAAGCGTCTTAAATGTACTAATAGTTCATCATGGTGTTATAATTCTGAATGGAAAAAAAAATGTGCCTCAGAAGACTTTAGTGTGGCCCTAAAATAAGTGATAGTTTTCTAAGCAAAGCCAAACAATGGATTGCCTAGAAAATTCCCTAACTTCTGGTCTGAGTGTCACCATCGCCTTTACTTCCTGGGACTGTCAAGGATCCTGAATGCTCTGCACAGTTAAGTATAGTATCTGTAATTCTCCTATTCATATTATTTTAATATTGTGCTTGCTTGTTACAAGGTTTTCTGTGACCACCATGGCCAGCAGAGTGACAAGACCACAGGTAAGAAGGCGGTTTGATTCAACATGACTCAATAGCTGGTATTCAAACTCCTGGAGTCTGACACCAACTGATTTATTTTAGGAATATTTAAGCACAGCATAATTTGGTGAAAACTTATTCTGATTAACTCAATTCCATGTTCACAACAGAGCATATACAAATCTCTTTTACTCTTTGTAAAGTCCATAAAAACAGCTTTTATAGATTGGCTGAGAAAAACGAGCTTACAATAAGGGTCTGGGGAACTATCCAGTGCCAGAAAAGCTCCAGCCATACAGATGGAGCAATTGTGAGAAGGCTAATAAACATATTTGCACCAGCCTTCTGTGTGCATAGTAGTTATAGCATTTATTCCTTTAAGAAACAACTCTGTGTGCTTAACATTCCAGGTTCCCTTAGTGCTTACCTATGAGCACAAAGACCTCAATGGCTCTATAGGTTATGCAGAAGACAAAAGAGTTGTAAAATCAATTTATCATTTAAACCTATAATTATTTGTTAATCTTACTGTCCTACTTGTACTTCAAGAAGAACACACAGGCAAATGTGCCCAAGATTGTTCTTAGGGTTTGAAAATGAAATGGTCATCGTGTGTGGTTGGTCCTCAGCTACCATGCAAACTTTAGTATTGTGAGCCTACCTAGAGGAAGTAGAACAGGTGGGGGACATTGTTATGTTTTTGAAGAAAAAGAGAAAAGAGCAAGATGAGACATGTTAACTAGTTTATTATAAGACCCGGCAGAGTAGGGAGACTAAGAGAGAAGAGGAACAGGGGTAATGGCTGACCGTCATGGCCAGTCGCCATGGAGAGGCAGAGAGAGCACGTAGGTGGGAGAAGCAGAGAGAGAGAGAGAGAGAGAGAGAGAGAGAGAGAGAGAGAGAGAGAGAAGGAAGTGAGCAGCAGGGAAGTTGGGACTTTTAAAGGGAAGACTGTGCATGTGCACTGAGGTTCTACACATGCCCAGAGTCCTCATGCGGGTGACGTGGTGGTGATGTAGCACATTTTCTTGTGCGTGCCCTGACTGTTGCCAGGGGGCGGGGCCTGTCCCTTAAAGAGGTAGAGCTGATCAGCATTAAAGCCTGAACTTTTCAGACATGATTTTGGAAGTTAGGCCTGGTCCCCTGCTGGGTCAGGCCTATATCAGTCCCACGATACAAGAGGCCATGTATTCTGGACTGATATCTTGGGGCTTCAATCGGAACCAGCCGAACAGCCTTGGGTCCGTCCCTGAGTGGGAGAGTGTGGATGAGAGAAAGCTATCCATCTTGTCATCTCAGGAGGGCCCTTAGTCCATGCTGGTGTCCACGGTTTATTCAAGCATCCTATTAAATAGCTTTCCAACAGTGGGGGTGATCGCAGAAGACATCTATTATTATGTATAAAGCTGGTATCAAATATTTCCTTTAATCCCAGAGACACCCCTAAAACTGCGTGTCCTCACTAGTCCCTCACTAGTCTCTAGGCACGTTCCACCAGCCCCCATGATGGGTGTGTGTCCACCTAGGGGCCTAGGTCTATTGTTACACAAACTAGGAGACATTCTCCACAGTGGCCAGGTCATCCAGAGGTAATCAGCCAGCATCTGAAAGACAATGGCAGATTCGAGCTCCTGGAATCAAGCTGAGGTTTGCACCCACAAATATCATATTCAGTATTTGGACCGTGCCTGTCCCCAGCCCTTTCCTCTATGTCTGATGCCTCTCACGAGCTGACTAACCTCTGCCACTCACTCCCATGCTATGATGTTTGGTCCAAGTGCATGGGGCCAAGTGATCATGGACTGACCTCTCTGAAACTGTGAGCTAAGCAATTTTCCTTAAGTATTTGGTTGT